AAACAGTCAAAACCTGCCGATTTGGTGGGTTGGAAGAGCTGCCCAAAAATGAATTACACATTTTTTATTGTTTTTTAAATCATCCAAAATCAGTGTCCAAAAAAACTCACAAACAACTGTTCTTCCAACCCCTCATAAACGGTGCCCCAAAACCGGTGAAAAAAACTCTCAAGCAAGCCCATAAGTATATAGTGTACCTTTTCACGACTGCTATATTATTACTGTATTCCAGCATTTAGCTTCAATGGCTGCACGATGATATCGGTCATTGTGAACGTACGACGACAGTTTTTATTCAATTTATTGTTTTATATTTTTAAAACTCTAGATTTTAGCTTAAAGAAGTGCTTTTTTTTTTTTTTTTTAATTAATTCTGTAGCATTTCTATATAGAACTTCCATCTTACCTTTACACGCCTTTAAGACAGGAATTATAGACCTGTAGCAGTATTAAAATGTGCATTGAGCAAGTTATAACCAGTTGTATTGGCTTCCACAAATATGCATTTGGATCTTTTCTCAATCCTTTGGCAAATCATTCAACTTGAGAATATATCCTACACCCATCGACTGCTCCTCTTAACGCAGTATTGACCAAAGCAGCAAATAGTGATTGCCTATTTACGAGAAATGTATAATACAAAATTATTAAAAGCATAGCAAGCATAATCTGAGCCAAATTTCAAGAAATACTTCAGAATTTTAGAGTTAATATAGCAAAACTTCACGAAACACTCTAAAATGATTTTAGAGTTATTATTACATTATTTTCTTGGTACATTGACATCCTCACAAGTGTTTTGGCACAAAAGCATTTTCCACATGAATTCAAAAAGGTTAAACCCCATATGGAATGTGACTCGCCAATTCATCCATGATTCTGCACAAAACCGTACCTTTTCCCTACCGTATTATCTCAAGATGATCAAACTCCTAAGAAATGATAGAGTGAATAAGTAATATTCTAAATTTATACGGATTACGTGTATAGAAGCCAAATCCAAATGGAAAATCAGAGTAAACACTCCACTTTCAAACTAGTGGTGCTGATAAGCCATCCACTTTCATCATATAAGAATATTTGGACGGTGCAATTGCCCCAGCCTTTGAGCAAAGATCCACTACAGCAGGAGCATGACCGTAATAGCCCCTCCCTTCGTCAACCAGCACTGGAGGATCTTGAGGTCGTCGATGCCAAACTATTTTTGGAGGAACCAAATCATCCACCTCGGCCTTCTTCCAGAAATGGGTCCCACGCCAGCTCTCGTACTTGAACACCCCACAAAGGCGAGCTTTGTGCCCAGATGGCCCTACATGTACCTCTGCACAGTGTTTGCAAACCTTCACTGGATAAACCAACAACAACTTCCCTACACCAGATCCAAGTGTTTCCCATGCGTTCAAAGTTCCTCTTGCTAACAATCTTATATCATCGTCCGACAATGAACTGGCGTCAACCATACCTTTTTCAACATCTGGAGTTGAATAAATACTTTGATTGCTGGGATCAGCCCCCGCTTGCAAGCATAGCTCCACAACTGCAGAAATGCGATCATA